AGCTTAGACCAAAAACCATTTTTGTTTTATAGGTTTACTAGCCCCTATCTAGGCTCTTGATTGCAAAAAACCGCAAGTCTCTACGTGCTCGTGTTCGGGAGTTATTTGATATACTCTGACAGATTCTTTTAATGTGAAACTACTATCTTACAATCGCACCGAAACAAAAACTTGAAATTTGGTAGCAGAGCAGATATAAAGTAAGATCATAAAATAAGATTAAAAGATGTCTGTTTTTAAGCTATGTTAATTAGAGAGTAGAGTTAGTTTTTTGAAAAGGTTACTTAAAAATGTGGAATGACACGTGACATATGTGAAATGACTGATGGATATTTGATTTGTAGTACTTGTCAAAATAATGTAACGATATTAAATGAAAAGTATGTGAACAAAAATTGTTGTACAGACAAAAAAAATTAATCGATGATATCGCTGGATCCCTAGTGCCATTTTTCGAGAAATGTGAAAGAACTACAGTTTGATCCCTCGTTTTCCCCGTCCAAAGTCTGGTTGAATCTATTTGGTATGCAAACTTCAGAGATTGTTCTACTTTCGTTTCACAATCATTTTACCGTGACATGATAATATCTACAGGACAATGATACTTCTAATTTAATCATCATGAGCTAATGATTATTTATTTAATTCTCCAACTCATGTGGAGAATAACTAGAGCGTGCTTATCATTTTGGTTCTTTTATTATCTAGTGTACTTTATAAGGTCACTGGAAGAATTTATTCACTGTGATTGGTTTCGTTTTACTGATTAAATTCCAGTTTTATTTGTACGAACTTTTCTTGTTACAAACATTTGTTTTATTTACTCTAAAAAGATTTTATCGTGTAAACAAACATATGTGGAACAAAAAGTATAAAAATGTTAAGATTTACAAAAACTATACGCCCTTATAAATCCTACGGTAAATAATCTTTGAGTCTAAAGAATGATAAAAAAATTCAATCAATTATGCTTATTGTTGTCGTTCTTCTCCACATTCAAAACGAACAAAATCATTAATAACAAGTTGATTTTCACTCATAAATGTTGAAACAGTTTTATCCGTACCCATGAGTTTTTGATACAATAAACGATCTTCATCATTCGATACCTTTTTTTCGGTTAAACCGAGAGTTTTTGGACGCATTGCAACAACATGTTGAGCTAATAAACGACCTAATTGATCCGTCTAAAATAACAAGAAAAAAAATATCATTTAGTTATTTCTAATCTCAAAACAGTATTCCGAATCGATCGATATTTCGGTCTGATTTTAGAGGTATAACACTTTTCAAAGACAAAAACAATAAGATTTTTGTAAACACCCTTAAACAAGAGTGTTTACATAAAATTATTTATCGAGAGTTCAAAATTAATAAATAAAAGAAAAATAAATCTATCAAGCTCGATTTATCGAGAATGACGAGTAAATGGATGTTGAAGTGATTTTGATTCCAGTTATAATATGCTGATACCATTATTCTCTTCACAACGTAACAAACCCCTATCACTACTTCACAAAATAGATCTATTGTTGGTATACTGCATTATAAAGATTCACTATCGTAGGGACTCATTTAAATCATATAAAAAATTACTAACACAATGTGGATCACTTGTACGCGCTACTTTAAGAACATAGCACGACACATTACAATAAACAAGAAATTCAAATTTTGGATAATATGCAGACAACTCGCCTTGTGTATATTGTATATACTATCTATATATTTAGCCTTTAACCGAGGTTAGATCAAGTTAGGTGATGTGGAAATCTAAATTTATGCGTATGCTGTTTGTAACACAGTGTAGTTTGACGAACTGGTTGGTTGAAGCACGATTTATAGTGATATAGATCAGTGCCCTTGTTGCTACAACGTAAATATTCGTTTTTTGCAATGATGAAGACTCAATTTTTCAAGAACCTTAGCTTTTCATCTGTTGTGGTTCAGGTAATAAACAGTGCTAATGGCACCCAATAGCAGAGATGGCAGAATATCAATACACAATGTATTCTGAAAAAACGACTATTTTCGGAAAACTTGTTGGACTTGTATTCTGGTGTATTCTCGACGAAAATACACTCCTATTCCTATGTATCTATAAAATATGTTAGGTTTCCTGGCCTTGGTATATTCTACTTGTGCACACTACATATACACAGTCACATCTCTGTATCAGACATATGTATACATCTGTAGTCGTATCGGAGAGGAAGGAGGATCTTAAGAGTGAACTACGAGACAACATTTCAGTACTGCTTCTTGCTACATTTGTATAGATATTCGTTTTTTGAGAACACGCTGCATATTAATATTCTGACACTCCTCCCTAATAGAATGAAAAAAAAAAGCAAGTGGTAAGTAAGCGCATGGTTTACTAAAAAGAAACATTGATATAAAATTAGATTTTCACATCATCTGACTTGATCTAGTCTTTATTGCAGTCTCAATATATACATGACGCGTATATTGAATGTATATAAGTATAGGAATCTCATAATACATCGAGCTCAGAGTTACTAAGACATCGTTGAGAGACTTTTTTTGCGTTTCCGAAAAAACGAAACACACCATTATGAGCATGAATAAAAATCATCAAGTTTTTTTTAAAAATTTCATTAAACTTACGAATTTATATGAAACAGATAGTTAATTTTTCAAGAGTGACATTCAATTCATGTAGATTTGAAATACTTTGGAAATGAAGAAAATTAGACAACTAAATTGTGAGAATAGGAAGATAAAACACAAGAACGAAAACAGATCATGTGTGTAACTAATTGCTATCACATAAATCATCACGAGAAAATTTATTCAATGGCAACAGCTTCATTTCAAATCAATTCGTTTAAATATTTCAATACTTGTCATTAGTATCAGCTTGTATTCTAGAAAAAATGTCGAACAAATATCATATGGATCTATTTAAATTGGGTACGTATACTTAGAATGCAATCTATTGTATACTGTTTTATTTTTTCAAATTATTCTCTCAACATTAAAAAAAAAAAACTTTTTCGTTTGTCATTTTGTTTATATTAACTTATATCTAAGGTTAAGCTTTTCTTCTCTTTCTTTTATTTTAATTAAAAATTCGATATGTGATATTATTGTTATCAATTTTATTCTTTTTTGCTTGTACTATGATTTCAAATCCATTAAAAATGAAAAAAAAAAAGAATCAAATACAGATAAAGCGCGAGGGTGTGTATAAGAGAGAGATTGAAAAGGGTGTGTATTGATTAATAGATAAGATAAAATAGCAGAAAAGCAAGAGAAAGATCAAACAGTCAAACTTATAAATAGTTCAACTTAGAATTAAATTGTTTTTGAAAATATCACTTATTTAAAAGGAAATTATTAAATTTTTTTATTTTTATTGAATAGATAGACAGATATACGCACTAAACAGGTAATTAAACATATAATCTTAGAAATTGATGATCAGGATACGGTTAAGAATTCTTGGATAGTTTATTGATTGGCAAACAAAGTATTAAATTCTTCGTCAGATGTGGGTATGCACCGAGTAATTGACTAAGGATTTTATATTTTTTTTCCAAAACTTAGCGTTTCGTAAATTGCTTCGTTAAAAATTTTCTGACTCGAGAAAAATGTAAAACAAACATAAAATGAGAGGTTGAACAGTACAATTTGTTTTGAGATTTAGGCAGCAATACCTCAAGAACACATAATCGAGTATCGAGTACTCGATTAGTCCCTTATGGATGTATCGCTGCCTAAATCTCAAAACAAATCGTACTGTTCAACCTCTCATTTTATGTTTGTTTTACATTTTTCTCGAGTCAGAAAATTTTTAACGAAGCAATTTACGAAACGCTAAGTTTTGGAAAAAAATATAAAATCCTTAGTCAATTACTCGGTGCATGCCTAGTCAGGTGTGGATTAGTCGTAAGCGAGAAGTTCTGTCATTCCTCACCTCTGTTATCAGTTCTATAGTTTTTAATAACATTCTAAGGATAGAATCATTCGCTCAAAGTTTCACTACTCTTCTGAATGTAGTGTTGAATGTTTCAGATACAAAGTAGAAATGTTTCAAACTTTTGTCACTAGACGTTTTCAATATTTTCACTTCATAGCTGAATGAAAGCGAATAGTATCGTGTAAAAAGAAATTTCTCAGTGGATGATAAAAATATCATCCTTGATTCGTATGACAAGCCGAGTCGATTTTCTAGATAATTTTATGTAATTTTTCGATCAGATTTTTTTTTATTTAGTTATGTTTAACGAAGGTGTTTATTTAGAAGGTAGCGATCGCCTTCAACACCATTTCCTACGTCGATTATGAATTAGATATTTATTTTAAATGACACTAATTCACGTTAGATCTTGTTTTGTGGAAAGATCCATTTTACTTGAATTATTGACATTTTTAAAATGCGTTCTGTACTCTCTGTGTACATTTTACATTTTCTTACACATGCCACTGCAACAGCACTATGTAATCAATATATTTGCCATTAACAGCAACTGTTAGCTAAGTGATTATAGAAAACAAGGTCCATTCTCATCAAAAATTGATAGTGACCATTCTATCTCCGACACTGTATTGATATTTTCAAATTTTTTAAATAATATATTCTTGATCAGAAGTTCATTGGCTTTCTATTGAGATAGACTTCAACATCTCCAAAGATAATCTCGTGTATAAAGTGTTGGATACTCTACTTCATACTAAAAGAAGAATAAATTGTTTTCATATCCAATTTCATGTAAAAAGTAATTTTATTTGTGATTCTATTTTTTTTTCAGCATTTTTACTCTCACAATGACTGATGCACTAACTTATTCTTCACATCAACAACAAATCAGTGATAATCCTTCAATATATTTCAAAAAACAAAACCAACACAATGAAAATCATGAAAATCCTCGCACACTACGTGAATTAATTGAATATTTGTATGAGGCATTCTCAACGGATATGGTTGATCTTGATTATTTACATACAATAATGACAAATTATAAAAGTTCTCCAAAAGATTGGCAACAATATGCAAAATTTAAACAAGATAGATATACACGAAATTTGGTCGATGGTGGTAATGGTAAATTTAATCTAATGTTATTATGTTGGTCAGAAGGTCAAGGTTCATCAATTCATGATCATACAAATTCACATTGCTTTATGAAATGTTTAGATGGAAAATTAGTTGAAACACGCTATGAATGGCCAACAGAAGATGATCAACAAGAAGATGATAAAAAAGAAAAACCGATGAAACTTAAATATCAAAGTGATTTAAATTATAATGATGTTTTATATATAAATGATTCATTGGGTTTACATCGTGTTGAAAATCCATCGCATACTGATAAATGTGTTACACTTCATCTCTATATACCACCCTATCATCAGTGTCATACATTTGATGAACGAACAGGTAAACAAGGTCAAGTAGTTGTTACATTTTACAGTAAATATGGACAAATATTGGAAAAAGAAACACCAGCATTGTAATTATACTAATCATTAAATATAACTGATTTTTATTTTTTTATTGACAGTGCTAATTTTATTTTGATTTATTTTAATATACAATGTATTGATTAATAAAAATATACTTTAAAGTCGTATTTGTGAAGATAAATTCAGATTAAAAATATGAGATATCTCTTCTAGTCACTCACAGTGGTATATGACTAGGGAAGTTGTTTTAATATCATGATTTTTCTAATAACTCGTGTCTGTTAGACTGAGAAAGAGAGACTGTACGCAGCTGTCAAAAACTGGGTCATTTTTAGTGTGAATTTTCTAACACAATCGAAAGTTTACCACCATCGCTTAGGAACATCGTAGAAAGTTAATTCTCTTTCTGGTTGAAAGAGTAAAGTCTAAACTTCAAAATACATAAAAAACCAAATTTTCAGAACTGCGTTTGAATAAGAAAAAAACCAAATATCAAACATCACTAAAAATCTCTTGCAAGATACTTTTTTCTTTATTTTTTTACTAGAGCCTGAAGAAGAACATTTTCGTGAAAACCAAATAGATGAGAAAGTAGCTCGTACAAAATTCTGTCGATCTCTTTACTTTAGAAAATTTCTCAGCGATTCTTTAACAGCGAAGAAAATGCATTAGAAGTCTCAGTTTTAGTAGAAAGAATCTCTTTGCATGAAAAATAAGAGGAAACGAGAAACTTTTGTTATTCAGGACTCAAGACATGTTAATAAAACTTAAAACTAATGTGAGTTTGTAGAGAATTGAATGATGTTTTAGAAAATACGTTCTAGAAAAAAGAAGCAATGGACTGAGTATCTAAAGTTTATTAATTAAATCTAATTAGTTATTTTTTTTAAAATAATGGAAAATGTACGAAGTTCTGGTTGAAAAGTGAATCAAAACATAATTTATGCTACTCCATTCGAAAGAGCAATAAAAATACTTCTGGTTTTTACAATTACATAATTCAAATGTCTGTTCTTAAAGGGGAAAAGTATATTTAATTGGAGAGATGCGTTTGAAAACGAAGAGCTTTTTTTAGTGATGGTTGATATTTGGATTTTTTCTTACTCAAACGCAGTTCTGAAAATTTTGTTTTTTGAAATTCAGATTTCACTCTTTCAATCAGAACGAGAATTAACTTTCTACAATGTTCCTAAGCGGAGAAATATGACTGCAGATTTCTGCAATTATTTTTGCATCGAGAGTTACTAGTCTTCATCTAATTATGTAATTTTGAAAATTGTCATTTTCTATAGTCAACTTATATTATGACATTTCATCATAGATCAGTTCTTTCTGGATTTCCAATATACGAAAACTGTACTTACCACACTATTAAATATATCCGCTAATACAATATGTCCATTAAGTGATTTTAATTCTACTGTATCATTTAAACTATAATATTCTCGTTTCCATTGTTGATCATTTGAACGTCTATCAACGTGTGAAATTTTTAAATTAGGCCAAATGTAAACAATTTCTTGCAAGGATGGTATACGTTGATAATTCAATGATTTTTCATATAATATTAAACGTTCAGTAGATGGTGTAATAATTTCAATGATTAATAGTGGTTCACGTGTAATATGTTGATCTTGTTTAAGTGACTGTTTTGTCAAACATAAACTGGGATAATAGATAAATGTTGGATCAGGTGTTTGTATACGAATATAAGAGGGTAATACATGATAATCGGAAAATTGTTTTTCAAGATATACACGAATATTTTTTAATAAAATATCTTGAATATTGTCGGCCGTTGGTAGAGCATAAACATTTCCATTTAAAAATTCATGTCGAATTTCAGTATTCTCTTCAGCATCCAAATAGGAACTAAGTTCAATTGTTTTTTGTTGTTGTTGATTGTTAGTAAATATGGTACGAAGTGGATAAGGACGAATCATTGTGTGAGGGATTGATGAACCTTCGTTCTAAAGATATAAAACACAATATCATATTAACAAAAGATTTAAAATACTGAATGTTATATACTTCATCGTCTTCCTGTTGTTGTTCTTGTTTACTTGTTGTTTCTACTGCTGTTGCTGATGAATAGGATACTAAAGCTCCATATTTTCCAACACGACACGATTGTAAACTTTCTCCTACTAAAAACAAATGTACAATGAATAAGTTATGTTAAAGACACTATACATTTACATTGTCCATGACAATAAGATGCCAAAAATTGATTGTTTTTAATTGGCAATATCACCCCTCGTCTTAAAACAACATTTTCTCCCACACTGCCTACGAACAGTGCCGCTAAATCAGCCAATGTTTTCGATTTATCATCAAACGTTGGTATTGTTGACAATGATTCTTTATCAAAGAATATCTATAAATGTAAAATAAATATTTATAATCATTTGAATTGATATAAATTGAAAAACTTACTTTATCATTTATATTTTCATTATTCATTAATAAACTTGTGGCTACTTGGCCAACTAATTGTTGAAATTTTTCATTTTTTGCCACAAAATCAGTTTCACAATTTACCTTTCAAAATAAAATAAAAATTGATATTCTAAAATATACATTTTTAATATTTTCTTACCAACCTCAACCATTGCACCCGCTTGATTTGATTTCATAATCATTCCAATTAGACCTTGTGTAGCCGTTCTCGTTTGTAATTTTGTTGCTTTACTCCAACCTTCTTGTTGTGCACGTTGATGCAACCATAATTCAGCTTCTTCAACATTATTATTAAATTGTTCTAAAGCTTTTCGACAATGTATCAATGAATAACCTGTTTTACGCCTCAAAATACTTAATGGTGATTGTGTTGCTTGAGCTGTTTGGGTAAAATGTGGTATAGACGTATGAATAAAACGTCGCCAAATAATCATATTGAATTGATCTAAAATAAATTATATAAGAATTAAATAATCGAACAAATGTGTATCCTATAAATAATTTGACCGTTAGAATTTTTAACTTTTTTCTGATCGTTAATTAGCTCGGAAGGAAGAATGAGAATTTCCACTCGGAACGTTATACTCTTCGATTTTTCCCAAAGATTAAATAAGAAAAAAAGTGGATGATTTTAGTGAAGGAGAGATGTTTTGGAAACAATGCAGATGGCCAAAGAAAAAAATATTAAGTACTAAAAGGAGTAAGACAAGCAAATAGTTTAGAACTAGACAACAAGGGAAATAAGTATTGTTTTATTTCGATAAAGTTGTTACAATGTTTGTACTTTTTAAATGCCGATGATTTACTTCGCTTACGAAAAATGGATAGAGTGAGGGTTTCAGTTCAGTTTAATTTATTTGGATTAGAAGAAAATCAACATAATATACAGCTTAAACGAGTTACGTAAACGACATTAGGGTGCGCCATTATATCTAAGAAAAAATAACAATAATAGAACAGTTAATGGATTCGATGTGTCACATCTTATTCGATCAAGATTACATCTCAGCTAATTTGTGAAAATATCCTATCTCATCCAGTCTCATGCAAAGTTAAAAGAGATGAGCTGGATCGAGTCAACTTCATCGATTATATTATCAAGATTTAAAATATTCGCAAACATAGAACTACGAATATGAACTGAAGGATGATGAATATTTTTTAAAAGAAAAGCATTTAATAAATAATTTATAAATATTTAGACTGTTGATTATGCCAATTCATAATTTTAATGAGAATATGGCTCATATAAATTAGATATTTTCTCAATAATTCCAAACAATACGTTTTTTTACCTTCGGTAATTCAATCTCTAAAATTAATTTTTTTTGATTCAACAGAATCTATCCATATATTCTGTGATTCCAGTGGAGCCAGTTTCTGTAAAATTTTAAACGAGTAACTGTATAGTAGTAATACATTATAACGACGAGCCCCATCAGATACAATCGTGTAAAAACCTGACAGTTCATCACAGTCAACACAACATGATTAAATACATGATTCTATAAGTTCACCGTCTGCAAACCATTGGTCATTGTTCAACTAATATTAACAGGCTTTCAATTACAAAAAACAAAGATTTCTTACTAAAATTACAAAATGAATGCGATCGAGGAGAATGAAAATAATTTAAAACTTGAAAGTTTTCGCAAAACATCACGATTTTCTGAAATAGGTTCGGAAATCTCGTATCTACACCAGTTGCTCTTTCATATTGACATCGTTTATCTGATATACGTAGAAGAGTATTTTGATAAGTCTAAGTTAGGTTGAAAGCCCGAGAATCTTACATCCACTAAACGTCTATATATTAAGGAATGAGGAGTATAATTACTCTTGAAGATATGAAAATAATCTTCGATATTTCGTCTGTATCGTAAAATATTTCATTCAAAATATTGATAGCAATGAAAAAGCGTATCGTTTAAAGATCATAAGAAGCAGAATAATGAAAATTACGGAACTTTTTTTTGAGTATTGTAAGAAATTAAGATGTCGCGAGTGTTCCTCCATCCATCTTCATCCTATTCCTAAACTATTTTTCTCTAACGAACAAAAATATAATAACTCTCTTAATTTTGCATTAAGCTTCATTTAAATTTGGAAACTATAGTGCAGGATTCACGCTTGTTTTTAGGAGTGGAAAGACCAAACTTTGTCAGAACGCAAATGCTAAATATTTGGCAGAATATTGTGAAAAATTTAAAATTTAATGAGCTAACAAAAACAATTTTTTTGAGGATTTTCTATCAGAAAAAATATTCAAATAACTTCGACGAAAATTGGTTTAAATTTAAGAAGGGAAAAAATCTTATCGCATCCATGATCATCAACTCTGCTATAGTATAGCACACTGGACGATCACTTCTATCTATTATTTCAAAATTTTGCTCAAGAAAACAACTGGACAAATAAAAAAAAATATCTTTTAAGAAATAAATACACGTAGCGCAACAGTAAAAAAAAAGAATAACAACAATCCACAAATTATACTAACATGTTACAATATATACAAGTAAACAATTAATCCAACATGGAGTAAATAAAAACAATACAAGACACTTTAAGTTCATATCTAATGAGAAATAAAATCTGAATCATAGTAGTCGGATGAATGTGTATGACTGCGTTTGTGACGTGTTTGAATTTCTTCTGTTGCTATAGAAGAAGACTGTGGAGATGTTGTTGGATTGACCGAAGAAGCAGCCGCAGCCGCTGCATTTTTTTTTCCTTCTAATCGTGCCGACTTTTTGTGAGCTTTTTGTCCATTATTGGAAGAAGCAGGTTGTTTTTCTGAATGATGGGACTGTTGATTAGAGTGATGATGATGTGAATGTGTTTGCGGTGGATTTTGTTGTGCAATAGCAGGCTGTTGTACTCCTTCAGAATCTAATGATGATTGTGGAACAAGTGCACGTCGTGTTCTTGGCTCACGTTTACCTTCTTGTGATGGTAATAAACGTTTCGTACCAAAATACGGATGAACATCATTGATATCAGCTGACAAATGTATGTTGTATGTCTGCTCACTTTCGCCTCTTGGTTTTGTCTGCGATTCTGCTGCTAATGGTATTTGATTATTATTATTAGTATTCAGTGAAGGTGTTGTCGGTGTTTTGGGTTTAGAAGGTGGTAGTGGAGTTTGTGGTGTTACAACATCAACATCTGGTTCATCAATATCTGGTGCTGAAGGTAAATAAATTAATTGATCATTGATATCTTCATCATCACTTGATACTAGGGCTTCGATACGCTGTTCGTTGACAACATCTATTTCAATATTATCGTCATCCATGGGTTGATTTTGATTATAACTACTTCGTTTCGTTTTCGTTGTTGTTTGTTGAATATTTTGTTGTTGATCACCATCAACACTTTTATCTTCATCTTTTAAATCAAATTCACTTTCTCTCTCATGATATTCAACATTTTCTTCAATTTCAACAAAGTCGGGTGCAAATGCACTCCAATTTTCCACTTGATTATGTGACCATATCGAAACAACGCCACTTGATATCGACGCAATAATTGGACGTACAGGATGCCAACAAACATCACCTAATTGTTCACCTTTTGTACCATGTAAAATTTTAACAAGATTACCCGATATCGTTTCCCAGATGTAAAGACTATGCTGTCGAGAACTCGCACCACAAATATATTCACCATCACCTGACCAACAACACTTTCGCCATAACGATTTATTCACCAAATCTTGTAGTTTTTGTTTAGGTTCTAAATCTTTTTTGATTCCACATGTTAACATATCGTTATAACTATAAATACGAATAATACGATCAGACGTATTCAGTAAACAATATTGGCCTAAAACGAAAATTAAAACAAATTGATAATGTGAACCAAAATTTAACTAACGGAATAATGCATTGTACATTTATTTCAATTATAATAAGATAATAAACTAATCTTACCTCGTCTTGGAAATTCAATATGTCTTAACACTGTGTTATTATTTGCACCCGTGGTTACACGAAAGGATGATATTGTTTGTAAATCAGGGAATGTCTTTATCATAATTAAACCTCGACTATTACCCGATACAATATGTAAACCTTTTCGATCAAATGTTGACGTTACATTATTATCATACGGTTCATCCTCAATTGTAACCACTTGATGAGTACCGTCGTCATGCAATTTGATAGGCATATGTTTCATTGGACATATGAGTAGATACGATGAATTACGTGGATGAAATTGTATTTTAATTATGGGAGAATATAGACAATAACGAATGCGACATCGGCCAGTTGACGTATACCAAATACACACGGTATTATCTGTGGAACTTGTGGCAATTAAATCACTTTTTTTTGACCATGAAATCGAATAAATCGGTGACCAATGAGCGCTGATTATTTTAGCAATACCTTTGGTTAAAAAATCCCATATCACTAGCCGGCCATCTGAACAGCCAACAGCTAATAATGAGCCAACTTTATTAAATGAACAACATACGGCCATTGATGCGCAATCCAATATGCCATCGAATTCTTCCGGATAATTTTGTTGAAATGTAGATAAGAGTTCTATATTCATTTTATTGTAAAGATAATTGATTATTTCATATCTACAAATAACAAAAAAGCATTATTGTTCAACTTTGTGTAATCATTCTAACATTTCTTACGCAATCAGCAACCAGGTTCTCAAAGTCAGCGTTTCAACCCACAAGCTCTTTCCATGCAATCAGTCTAATGATCAGAATCTTATACAGTGACTGCTAGTTTTATTCATTAAAAAGTTCATTGTATAACGTGGAAACATTCATTTCAAGAAATTCGAATGTTTCATGAGTAGAAAAGTTACATTTGACATAGACAAAATTAGTTGGAAAAAAGTCAAGAAAGTTAATCCGTTTTTTTTCAATGTTTGCAGAAGCAAACATATAACGGATGGCGCAGAAATAATAAGACAGGTTGTTATTTTTTTGTACTCTACCCAATTGATTATTTAATAATGTTTCGGAATTATTCTCGGTCGTTGTATAAATTTACAAAACGAGAATTCTTACATATCTGCCAGAAACTGCTTAATCTCGTTGAATTACTTTAAACTTTGTTTCAACATATATTACATTTACCAATAATAATTGTACAATTTCATTGTCTATCAAAACACACAAAGTTTCAGATATATGTGACATTGCTCTTTCTTCAGAAAACGAGATGCTAGAGGATCGTAAGAATGACAAATCTTTACACCATCATTAGTTACCCAAGCTGTTATTCTGTTTGTAATTCTCAGGAAACAGAATGTGCAAAACTAATTCCTCGATTAAAAATATCTGAATCTTTACTATTATTACTTATAATATGATATTTCTCTTTTCACATAATGTTGATAATTCTTCCATCAAGCGTATAGCGTCGTATATGTCATTGGGTGAAAAATACCAAAGATTGTTTTTAAATCGTTTGAAATTCTCATTCGAAAAGAATGAAATCTGTTTTTCTAAATGTTAAATTGCATTGTTAAGTAACCAAAAATTGTTGCTCTTATCCCGCATTCAATCGGCATCATGGATATTCATAAAACGATGCAGAATAGTTTCGTCGCAGAGAGAAAGTTCTGTCACTAGTATCATCATATCCAAGAACATCAATTTCTTTCAAATATATTTCCACAATGTTTTTATGCAAGACTTCTTTCTGCGAGTTACACACCAAAAGATTATAACAGGAAGCCTCATAAGGGTGACAATCTCACATTTCGAGATTTATCTCCCGCAAAAATCTGTCCTTCCGGGTGTCCAAATTTCAAAAATGTTTTCTTCTAACTGTCTCCAATGAACTTTTCACTTTTTTAAACAATTTTTTACAAACAAGCTCACCAGTACCGCGATTGAAACAATTAATTTCTTTTATTTTTTCAATCTCACCATATAATTCATTTGTAGAAACCACTCTTTCATATATGGAATACTATTGGACATATGTAACTTACGAAGTACAATTTCAGAGGAACTATAGTTCTAAAAAAAACATATCTTACAAAATCAAAAAGGTTTTTACTTTTCGTCCCAAAATCGAACGTGGTTCATTACACTATTGAAGCAGTGTTTTAAAAAACGGACGAGATTTTCTCACTCTAAATGCAAAACGGAAATGGGTTTCGTATGGTCGCAAAAACAAAAATCCTATTTTGGTTTTATAATATACGTTTTTTTTAACGAGTGTAGTGGCTGCAGAATTGAAAATTAGAATGAATACAAATTTAACACATACCAATTTTCAATCTATAATTTTAAATAAGTTCTTAAGATTATTCGCGGAAGTGAAAAATATATGAACAGAAAATTACGTTTCGCTTCATCATTTATTGATTTGTGTGGAACGACGGATTTTTCTGTTAAATTTTACGTTTTTGAGATAGTAATAAGAGAAGAAAAACGAATAATAGAAGTATTCGACCGGAAAAAAGAATATAATGCGTCTGTGCTTTTCTCAATGGTTTCAACTAAATAATGTGTTTTATCTTGTTCCTCAAGGAAAAAACGATCTCATAGAAAAAAGATAATCAACTAGAGGTCAACTACGCTTCGCGAAGATTGCAAAATTGCAGAAGTTTACTGATTCTCAAAATTTACTAAACGTTTGACTTTATAATAAAGATTAGAAACCTCTATTCATACCAGTTTGTCGTTTACTACAAGTCACTACATTATTACTTGATGAATTCCTCATATGATGAACGCATATGAATCATTATTTCTGTACAGTGCACATAAAGAAATATATATGCCTATACGCAGCAACCATGTTTTAATTATATATATAGAAAATATAAAATTTTGTTTAAAAATGGTTAGGTTTAGACTAATTCTTCAATAATTAAACGAGATATTGAAAAGTTCTTGAAAAAGGTTCATCTAGGCCACCTGATGCATAAAATCCCAATAATCGAGAATTTTGCTAAGCAACGCTTCTGTTGGAAAGCAAATTAAGCCCTGAAGTAAACTTTTATCATTTAATTCTTCGCCTTAAAACATGATAAAATGTGCGCCGACGAGCATTCACAAGATAATAAAAACGGGAGTCAAACGGGAGACAAATACAATTATGATTTAATAAAAGCGAGTGTCTTCCGAAGTTACTTGCGCCTTATCTAAGACCATATTGTATCTTACTTCATTACAGTCTCCTTTAAACTTGATCTGTGAAGCCTTCAACATCACCTTTATAATTCTTCTTAGGGTTAAAATACATCATGAGCGAATGGTACGAAATGAGCGGTGTAGAAATCTTCCAATAACTTGTCGTTCCATGAAAAAATCACCATACTGAATATGTAAAGTGTGGACTCTGTTGAATGCGATTTTTCAAAAAGTTTCAAAAAGATAATTAGTTTGAAAATATCGGAACTTTAGTTGGATTTCCTCGCCTTATTTGTCTAAGGCGATTCAAAGAAAAACATACCTAAGAAATATTCAAAAAGATGTCGTCCTTGGCCATGTTTTATATTCTCTTATACATCTTTAGATGAATACCCCATCAAATAGAATGAACAGCAAATATTTGTGTCTGTTTTGCTTATAAATAAAACAGACACAAATATTGTTTAAGAAACTGACAAAACGAATATAGAGAACAAACTGTTTGCTACTCTGTCCGTGGTATTTTTGCAACACGACCAGTCGTGTCTAGCGCTAGACTGCATTGTTCGATGAGCGAATTTGTTTTAATAGTTCTTGTTTATTTAACCCTAGTACTACCAGCCTGGATCGTTTATGACCCGTACTCAAAAATTTGGAAATATACTAGAAATATTTTGCTATTTTCCGGATTTTAGAATGACATAGCATCTTTTGCGAATTAATATATGCTGTTTTATCATGTTCCGAGTAATAATTGAAGATGATCCTCATTCAACATACGAACAGTTTGAAGACACCCTAGGCATTACTTTGCCATCAATCAATTCAATTATTTATGATTATTTGAAGTTGCACAAAGGTTGTACTCGATGAGTACCTCATCAATTCACCGATGACCAAAAACAGTTCCGTATTCAATTTTGTCGTGATTCACTGGAAAGATTTGAAGGAGGCCAATCCCGTCGTGCATTCGACATTATAACTAGTGACGAATTATGTTTTTATCATTATGGTCCAACAACAAAAGAGCAATCAAAAGTTTGGGATTCACAAACTGATCCACGACCAACCAAAGTTCATCGATACAAAAGTTCAGCAAGCGAATGGTGACTATTTTCTTCACGAAATATGGTTTAATTCAGTTCATACTATTAGAACGTGATGAAATGGTAACTGCAAGGTGGTATGTCAATAGCCACCTGCTACAAGTCTTCGAAACAGTTTCAGAACGGAGACGAAGGACCGGTCTTCAAGGTCTCATTTTGCATGACGACAATGCGAAGCCGCCCGCATAGAGCCGGAGTTATCAGCGAGTTTTTGGCAGAAAATCGTGTTGAACCATATCGAAATCCACCATATTCGTCAGATCTAAGTCTGTGTCACTACTTTTTGTTTCCAAAGCTCAAATAAAATCAACGATGTGGAATTCAATTCGACGACGACAATGCAATGTTGAATGCTTTAGACAATCTCACAAAAGATGATTTCAAACGCTGCTTCGATGACTGGTTTACTTGAATACACGAGTGCATTGGTGCTGACGGACAGTACCTCGAATAATAAATTAAATAAATATGTAGAAAATACACGATCAAGAACTGAGTCATATTCACATCCTAGTAAGGGCGCTGTGTGTTGGCCGTCAAGCGATTTCAAGCCTGGCCATACGAATGCATGCCCTACAAAAAAATATTTTATCGGCACGGGTGCGCACTGGTGCCGAATAATCTTTTTTGATGATTTTTACCAGTGCGGCACTCTTTCGGCAGAAATATATCGGCACTTGCTGGGCATGCACAGTGTGCATCCAGGCGGACATTAGGACGAAAAATGAAAATCGACTTTCGAATGAGTTAAATAGTGATTTATATACTTCAAGTGATGTTCTATCCGATGGTATAAAAATTGTTGTTATAAAATCTATGGATCATAGGAAAACAGATAACCAAAAAACCAAAAAACCAAAAAATAGCTTGAAAAGAGTGGTATCGACGAAAAAAGTATAATTTTCACAACAGTCAATGGAGTTGTAATCAAAAACGAGATATATTCTAAATCTACATGGTCTCGGCTATAGATTAGTAAAAAAAATTTTAATTTGGACGTATAAGAGCTGAGAAAACTTTACAAAAATTTTCTAAAGTGATTTTCCGAACGGCTATTTTCAGTAAAATGAGCGCGCCCCCCATAGTCCAATTCGAAGCTCGACCAAACTTTGGCAAAATGTTCGTCAACATGCTTTGCATCTATGGTGAATACGCAAAAATGCGAAAATGTTTCTAACACATACAGCAGGTTTTCTAAAAAACCCTCGGTTTTTCAGGTATTTTCGATTTGTCTCGATTCAGAAACGTTTTTATTCAATAAAAAGGACATATTTGGAATCAGCGCAAGAAACTATCGAATGGTATATAATTTATGAAACTTGAAAAGAAAAATGTTGTTCGAGAGAATTCAGGCTTAATCGAATTATAGATGTTATTATATCCGATTAAAATCGTTTCCGTCCGCAATGACGTTAAACTAGGTAGAAATCGTCTATTTTTAGGTGATATGTTTCAACGCGAAGAGTGAACGAAACAGAGTTATTCGCCGACGCAGAGGATCTTCGTGAGCACACCCCCTCTGGCTTTCTGCGCGGAACTGCAGCTGTCGACAATGATTCCGAGGTCATCGCATCGTGTTGAAACCTATGGCCAATTAATCAGCCCTCGGAAAACGTGTACCGGCGCGACCATTCAAAGGTAACAACATAAAACTATTAGGACGATTATTATGGATACGGTGGATGGTCTGTAGGGCAACGTAGGTTGTCGAGGATGGCGTAAATTCGTCCCCAAAGAGGGTCCTATGCATTACGGGATAGCACCGGAGGCAACCAGGACTACCCGTTTGTTTACTGGTAGTCGAACAGATCTACCTGTTTATTAAACGGATGTCTGAAGCACATTACTAATCGCCCCTGTGTTGGCCCAGCAGTTGTGAGTCTGAGATAATGTGTAAACGGGTCTGTCATCAACGATGGATACAACAAAAAAATACCTAACTAAACACAAACACCGAGCAACACCAAAAACACCGCCATTACATTACATCAATTTTATCAAATATTTTGTTATGATTCTGGCAAAGATAACCATACAACTATAAGCAACATCTGCGAATGGTTCGAAGTCGATGTTTCAGATGGAAATAAAAATATTATTTCTGGTCGAATTCAATACCACACCGTCAAGAAAAAAAGTGATTTAGAGTCGTGGCGAAAATGTAATACTCAACGACGAGAAACAGATTATTCTGACGTTGTGCTGAATAAATCAGACTTATATCAGCGATCAGAACCACCGAAAAGTGCATCAAAAAATTTTGAAGATTTAGAATATCGTCAAAAAAGGCGTCGTCTATCTACATTGAATGAAATTTTTTTGGATGATTTCTCTGATTCAAATAATATTTTGATAAATCGATTACTCGGATATTTATTATACCAAAGAAATTACAATGATCATAAACATCTTGCAAAATTAGGAGAAGAACTGTTTAATACGGGTACCGTCGAAACAAAAAGCTCATTGAATCTTGATCAAACGATCGCATTGAAATACAATTTGAATCTCAGCACTCACGACACAGATTTTATTAAATCATTCTTGCACGAACACGTTCACATACCTAATCGTAATAAAATCCGTGAGTTCGGTAAACGATTAGTACCAACAATCAATCCATATCGTGATAAAAAAGGAATAGCGGTAGAACAGCGAGAGGAAACGACTGTTTTGCCGTAAAACGATTAATTACATCATTGAAAGAACAAAGAATAGCAGTTCCGAATACTTTATCATATAGGGAAAAGACAGGACACGACGGAGCAGGAACAATGGCGGTATATAAATCAGTGAATAATCCAATGCGTGATAGTAATATATTTGCAAAAATGTTTGTACCACTCGAATTGAGAGATAAATCGCCTCAAACATTACTCTGGCAAAATTCTGCACCAAATAGTTCTCGATGGACATGTCCGATCGCGTTAATAGCTGAACAAGAAAGTGAAGACTTACTTAGATTTGTAAATGACACTTTTGAACCACAGGAAAGGCGATCGAGAGAAGAAGGAATTAAATTTGTGCACGATAATGAAACATACGAAGTCGAAGTACACATCGAAGCAAGTATGAAGGATTTGAAAGTTCGAATGATGGAGAGTGGTCTTGGTGGAGCCGACTGTCTAATGTGTACAACAAGGCAAAGCGACTGGAAAGACGTGGAAAAACTAAATGATGACAATTATTTCAATATTACAAGGACATCGGAAAAAACGCTAGAAATTTATAACAAAATGATTGAAGAAGAAGGTGAAATTGTCAAAAAGAAAAACGATTATGAGACGCGCACAGGATTAACTTCGGAATCATTGTCTGAATGTGATCATTCATATATAACTGTTACTCATCAATATATCAATGGTACCACGTGGTTTTTAAAAATGATGTATCACATGAAATCAAATTTATTACAATGGACTGCACGTGGTCAAACGAATCAAGATAAAATATCAAAAGCTAAAACTACGATCATAGCCGATATTGAAAAGAAGACCGGGTTGCGATTTGAGCAACATGATGCTACCCAGGTGATTTTTCTGCAACATAAATCTGCTAAAATCTTTGCAGTAACTTTGCAGATTCTGCAAAGGGTGTCTGCAGATTTGAAGCAGATCTGCATTGCAGATGTGCCAAGATTTGACCAAAGATCTGATGCAGATCTGCAAAAAAGTCTTTACAGTTTCTTTGCAGTTCCTCTGCAGGTTTTTTGCAGAGAAACTGCAGATTTTTACAGTTTTTTTTTGTGTGTATATCTGTGTCAA